TGCTTTGCTCTCCTTGGACAAAGGGTGCTACATAAATGCAAAGTATTATGATTATCTATCTGTGAGCAATCAGGGTCCATAGCATTTTAATCCCCCCGGCAAACATGTGCTTGCTTAAAACTCACCTGTCTTCTGTTATATGCGGTCACATGGCCACATCCTGACTCTGGAATAGGCTCCCAAGGGAGGCTGTCGAATCCCTGTCATTGGAGGTTTTTAAGAACAGGTTAGACCAGGGATTGGCAACCTTTGGCAGGTGGCCCATCAGGGTAATATGCTGGCGGGCCACGAGCCATTTCGTTTACATTGACCATCCACAGGAACAGTCCCCTGCAGCTCCCAGTGGCCATGGTTCGCCATTCCCGGCCAATGGGAACTGCAGCAAGCAGCGGCCAGCACATCCCTGCAGCCTGCCACTTCCCACAGCTCCCATTGGCCGGGAATGGTGAATTGTGGCCACTGGGGGCCATGCCTGTGGACGGTCAATGTAAACAAATTGTCTCCTGGCCTGCCAGCGGATTACCCTGATGGGCCGCGTGCTGAAGGTTGCCGACCCCTGGGTTAGACAAACATCTGTCAAGGATGGTCTAGGCAGGGGCGGCTCTAGCTTTTTTGCTGCCCCAAGCAGGGTCCTACGGATTCGGCGGCTTGCCTGCGGGAGGTCCACCGGTCCCACCGCTTCAGCGTACCCGCCGCTGAATTGCCACCGAATCTGCGGGACCTGCAGACCTCCTGCAGGCAAGCCGCCGAAGGCTGTCTGACTGCCGCCCTCGCAGGGACCGGCAGGGCGCCCCCCGCAGCTTGCTTCCCCAGGCACACGCTTGGAGCGCTGGTGCCTGGAGCCGCCGCTGGGTCTAGGTTTACTTTGTTGTGTCTCAGAGCAAGGGGCTCAACTAGATGACTTCTCGTGGCCCCTTCCAACTCTCCATTTCTATGATTCTGTGACTCTGAGTCCACTGATCAACCAAGACCTGGGTGTCCCACTCTGAAATGGTGAATAGAAGGGTCAATCAAGGAGAGGAACATGTTCATCAGGCTGAAAATCTCACCTGTGCAGGATAGGGAGACAGCCTTGCTAATGACCCTACAAACCCACCCTCTGGAACTCCCTCCCCACTCCACTCCACTCCACTCCATTCTCTCTCCATTGACCCAGTGGTTGGTAGTCACAGAAGGGCAAGATCCCTCTCGGGCCACACAAAGGATTTGGGAAGTAATTTGCATCAGTTTCTTTCTCTTCCCCCTAACCAGCCTGTTTCCACCTACACACCAAAGAACTCCACAGCACTTATCCAGAGAGCAGACTTTGACCTTTTCCACCCATCCTCACTCTTGGGTCCGGGGGCCATCTTGAGCACTTGCTCCCAGTGTGCATCCAGTCTGTGTGGCCTTATGGAACGTCCACACCCCCTAACACCTGTCATGTAGCTCCCTGGAGCTTAGTTTTCACTCTGTGATCTATAGACTTTCCCATGCACAAAACACCACCAGGGAGATGACTCCCCAGTCCTTTTTGACTGAACTAACCAGACACTCTTCCACCACTGTCTCTTCTTAGAGGTTGAAGGTGATGCCTCTCCAGGACAGTCTACAGGAAATTCCACAACTGACAATCTGAGACTGAAGTGGGCTAATTACAATATGATTTTTAAAATAAGAATAGAGAAGCTCAGATTAAAGCAAAAGCAAATATAGTAAATATAGTGTGATGCTTTGCAAAGCTCACTGGGCATGATCCAATGCCCACTGAAGTCAATGAGATCTTTCTATTGACTTCCTTGGGTTTTGGCCTGGGGCTCTAAATAGATTTGCTTTGGGTTGAGTTAGAGTGAATTAAAATGAATTAATAAATAATAACAATATTATTTGCTCTTAAAAAGCACTTTTCATCCATAGATCCCTTAGGAATTTACAAAGCAACCCCATTGGCCAGGCAGCCTATCAGTTTCTCCCAGGCAGCTCCCTCAGTCAATAGTCTGTGACTATTAAGAACATTACAGACTTTGAATCAGCTGATTGGCTGGGTTTAAAGAGTCAAGAATCATATAGTTTTTAGCATTCCCTTATCATTAATTCTGCTTCTTATCAAATATGAAAAAAATGGATAGATTACTGCCTTTGGGCTAAATTACGGAGTTTTTAAACAAAATTATTTTTTTTTTAAAGCGATCAATTTCCTTTCACCCATTACACTTATGCAAACATTGCAAGAAATACATATTTCCTGTTACAATGTTCTTGTGACTTTTTTCTGCTTAAAATAATAGTTGACGTCTGAGATGTGCAACTTGGCTTGTAAACAGTTCTCATTGCAGAGGACATGCTTGGCTTAGTTTGGAAAAAAATGAATTTAAAATAAGGGAGTTAAGATGTTTGACATGGTGGCATTGAGCAGGTGAGGTGGAAAATTTGGTTACGTTGTAAGATGTGATGTTAAAGATCAGTGTGGTGTATATGTCCAGCAACCAGTGATCTGCTCAGTACAGGGACAAGGGGCATTAAGATTTTGGCAGTGAAGTGTGGAGGTCCTGTGAGCCTGTTCAGGGAACTTACGAGCTTTGCTGTTGAAGTCAGCAGGCCTTGTAAACTAACTGTTAGCGATGCACACAGTAGCTGATTCCCATGGCATTTAGGCACCTAAAATCTTTGAGGATTTGGGCCTAAATTCTTTGAATGTGAGACAAGGGCACAGAGTGGTTGCAGCTCTTCTGCGCTGCTCGCATAGGTCATTAGGGCCACTGGATCTTTGTAATTCTGGCTTCTGTGTCCCTTACTTTAGCTCCCCTCCACACTCAACTCTGCTCTCCACACTAGCCTTTGCAGGTTCAATACCACAGAATGCCTGTGTGCCCATATGCCTGTGGGTTGGAAACAACATTCCAATGGGATTCTGACTGTCATTAGATGGAAGGGGTGTTTTTAACCAAACCCTGGCATCAATTTTTGAATCCTGAATAATAACCAGTAGCCACATCCTCTCTCTTTTTTTAACTGCACTGCAGCAATTGTGGCCGTGTCTATAACAGAGTACTGGTGATTAATCACTGTTCTGGCAAAAACAGTGCAGGGACTAAATTGAAAAGGAGATGGCTAAAATACTTTTCACATCAATGTTTTTTCTTGCCTTCTTTGTTTTTGTATTTAAAAAGCTTAATAATAGAATTCTTTCCCCAGATAGATTAGCCCCTTTCTCCATGGCCAGCTGCTTTTTGTACCCGGAGTTTTGAATGGTTGCTTTATGAGCCTCAGTAGCTCAAAGGAGTTGTAATAGAACCAGAAGTGTGTCAGCAATAAGTGGCAGATTCTCAGCTGGTATAAGTTGTCAGAATTCCATTTGAGCAATGTCCCTGCAGTTACTGCCTGGCTTTGTGTATGGGTGGGTGATTATGCCTTCTTGTGGCTGGCATACATAGAGGATAAGGGATTCACATCACTCAGAGGAGTTCTCCTTTAGCTTTAGTGGTAGAGGACTGTGTTCCAGAGTCAGGTAACCAGGGTGCCAGGCCTGGCCATCTTTAATAATAGGGTGAACTGGTATTTAGGTTGTCTAACACTTTCCATTAAGATTCACACAACCTTTATTTGGGAAGCTCCTTCACCTCCATTGTTTGCAGCAGGCATTTGAAATTTGGCAGGGAGAAAGCCCTGGGGCCAGAGAAGTGCCTTTTCTTTCCCCCCTGAAAATCTGAGAGAGACTTTTGAAAACTGCAATTTTTTCTTCTGTCATTTGCACTGTCAGCAAAATTTTAGCAGCACCCTCTCAGCCTCCTGAGTGCTGTCCAGCTTGTTCAGTGAATAAGGCTGCGGAAAAAATACGATGTGATCATATAACTAAAGACTGCATCATAATGCATACGCACAAGGGCATCACATTAAGATTGTATAGATCAACTAGATTCTGGCATTTCCTAACTTTTGAGTGCTTGACTGTGCTGTCTAAATAACATGTTTTGTATGTAATTGTTATATATTGCAGTTGTACCTAGAGGTCCCTGCCCCATTGAACTAGGATTGTACAAATGAAGAGCTTGCAAACTGTGCATATGCAATTTATCTAGTAATTGTGGCTGTTGCCTGTAGGGCATTGATGCATTTGCATTAGTGCACATCTTCATCCTGAGCCTGCAGAGTTCTTATCCAGGGTGTCTTTACTCCCACATTCCATCTCACTGAAATCAATGGGAGCACTCTGGGTCAGGTCTTCAGCTTCGCTCTATTGACGTTTACACCCGCTGAGGAGCTGGATCAAAGACTGAACTACCCGCTTTCACCTTCAGGATAGTCCCTGCAGGACAAGATGCAGGCACATCGATAAGTCATTGCAGCTGCTCACGCTTTCCCTAATATGTAGATAAAGGACTTCAAATCCAGGGCTGTTAATCTGGAAATCAAAGCGTGCCCCACCGTTCAGCTGTAACTGCAGTGCTAATATCCTTGCACTGGGCCAGATTATAGAAGGGGAGGGATGAATAGGCCATAACTCAGCTTCACTATCAGACCCTGAAGTGAACTCACAGGGCTGGCAGTTAGGAAGAAACAAATCAACCTTTTTTTAAATTTGCAAACCGAACAAAGGTGATTTGGAGTCAAGAGACAACGAGCCCCCGTGAGGCCATTTTTACAGTCACTTTTCAGCAAAGGAAGGCACTTCAAGAATAAAAAAGACTATTAAGACAGACCAAGGTGCTATGGTAATAATACTAATAATAACAATAATAAATTGACATGACTTGTTGAAAGTTAAGCATGTGTTTAAGTGCTGGCCTGAACCAGGGCCTACAGTGGTCAATGCTATTTTAGTTTTCTTTAGAACAGTTGAGCCACCAATAACTAATGATTTTTCCTTTGTTTCATTGCTACTAAACATGATTTTATTCTGTACAGATGATTTCACTGTAGGCATTATTCAGTTAGCTTTATTTCACTGGCGAAGTTCATTTTGCACTACAGAACAAGTTAACATTTAAAATATTTCATCATCTCTTTCTCTCTAATTGCAGAACATAAGTGTCCAGTGGACGAGAGGGAACAGTTAGAAGAAACCCTGCCTCTGATTTTGGGTCTGATATTGGGGTTGATGATTGTGATAACCGTCTGCATTTACCATATCCACCACAAACTGACAGCCAACCAGGTACAGCTTCCTCGAGACAGATCTCAGTACAAACACATGGGATAGATGGCAGGATGCATCCAAACTGAGTACTTATCAGGTAGACAAAGCAAAAGCACTTTTTTTTCTGTCGGTGAGGACACACACATGATATATCTACAGTATAATGGCCAAATGGAGATGAAAACACTCTTCACAGTCAAAGCTTCATGCTGAGGGCAAAATTCTCTTCTCATATTCAAACCCCAACATTTTACTCTCCCCACATATGCAGCACTCCCTTGCCATACATGTATGAAGAGCTGGAGTGAAGATTTACTACTCAGAGTTTTGCTCTAAGCATTAATTTAGTGTATTCATTATTAAGAGCCATATCCTGCATTCCTAACACACTAGAAATTCCCCCGGAAGTCAATGAAAGGAATCTAGGAGTGGCCACAAAGTAGACATTTTATTCTGAAAAATCCAGGCCAGGCCTTCAGCTGGTGTAAACTGGTGTAGCTCCAGTGAAGTCAATGTCAGCTGATTTCAACCAGCTGAGGAACTGACCAGGCATTTAAGGTTGAGAGAGGAAAGTTTGGTTTTGCTTCTGAGTTACACTTACGAACCTGTTGATGCACAAAATATAGAGCACCACGCTACTGCAAGTCAATCAAGAAATGCTTCTGGCTGGGCGTCCTGCACGTATTGTGATTGTCTTTGACACGTTACATTGCTACCTGCACCTGACAATTTCACAACAAAACAAAAATGTTACCGTTACTATGCAGATCATTTCAGGTGTTACCCAATGTAACAGAAAATATGAACTCTATCAGCTAATGTAAAACATTTTTAAAATGAATTAAAATATACACCCGTATAAAATTTGGTTTGCCTTTTTATTGTGAAGTGACCTAAGGTTGTCTATAAGCACTGGTCGTTTATAAGACTGAATGTAGATGTACATGAAGAGCGTGTAGAATGATACAAAGGTGGATTTAGTTTGTGTTGGCAGTATCTTTGGTGCAATAATGGCTGGTTGTACTGTAGTTTGTATGTTACAATGCGACCTAAAAAATTCATCCATCCTCCCAGCCATTTGCTTGTTTGCACGTTTTATGAAACATGGGGTATTTCACTAACGTCCTGGTCCTGTTCCCATGGAAGTCATTGGAAAGACGCCCATTTTTAGTGCAATTTCAGTAGTTATTGAACCAAGATGTACTTTTCTCTTCTTATTTTACCTGATTTAAAGAGGAACACCTAGAGAACATCTCCCTGAACTGCCTGTACTATATATTATATGTTATGAGCCAAGAAAAATATTAATTCAAATCCTGAAACTACTGGAGAACTCATTTGTATGTTTTTTTTAATAATAAAATAATATATTTAGGGCCTAGTTCTTCTTCACACTGAGGTCAGGATGGGCAGAGATGGTGTCCCTGACCTGTGTTTACCAGAAGCTGGGAATGGGCGACAGGGGATGGATCACTTGATGATTACCTGCTCTGTTCAGTCCCTCTGGGGCACCTGGCATTGGCTGCTGTTGGAAGATAGGACACTGGGCTAGATGAACTTTTGGTCTGACCCAGTATGGCCATTCTTATGATCTTGTGCCTCTTTATACCCCCCTGGAAGTATAAAGGGGCCTTAAAGAGGTGTAAATTACATATATAAAATACACCCACTTTAAGGAGAATCAAGCCCTTATTTATTTATTTATATTAAGGTCTAGATTCTGCCTCTCATACATTGACTAGCACTTTACTTCTTCAACAGCTTCACCGATATGAATGTTAGTCTCTAAGGTGCCACAAGTACTCCTGTTCTTTTTACCGATATGAAAGAGGCTAGTCATGAAGTAAGGTGCTGCTCAGTGGAAGGATGGCAGATTCTGGCCCTTTCATACGTGATCCCAGTTAGCTATCCTGGGATTCATGCACATAGTGTAAATAACACCGGGCCTGATTTTCCACTGCCTCGCACGTGGTGTGTGAACTCATTGACACCCCTGCAAAATCCGAATAATAGGAGCCTTTTCTGTCCACTTTGCAGCACTGCAAAGGACTTACACGAGGTTCAGGGCACTGGAGAACAAGGCCATTGACAGAAACAGGCAAGTCTAAAACCAAAACCAACCCCACTTGCCCTCCCTGCAGGCAACATCCGGAGAAGAGGGACAGACCTTGCACTGTGCCCTAACGCTCAAAAAAGCCAAGCTCTCTAGGATTAGCTGAGGAAATGACTTACAGACTTGAGGGTACCCCACTGAAAGCTCCCTGTCCCACAAGACGCACACAACTCAATCTACAGATTCTAGCTTGAATGCCCCAGCTAACCTAAACGGCTGCGGTGCACCAAAAGGCTTGTGGCAAGACAATCTCAGATCTAGCCTGGAACTAAAGGTTCTAAAGATGAAGCCGGCACCTTGCAAATAAGAAGTCAATGCTGGTGTGGGATAATATGCACCTACTACTACATAACAGGTGCGCAGCCACACTTGGACGCCACAGCTGGTGCAGAACAACCTTGTCCACATCCTAATCTCAGTCAGGCACTGGGAAAGCAAAGAGCTCACACTGTCTAGTTCTGATGAAGCAGACATCAGCCACCGTCTGACAGCACCACCGCCTAAATCGAGTCTCTATGTCTCTGAGCAGCCTTGCAGGTATGTTGAGCAGATGAGAGCGAAATGTAGCACTCCGTGCAAGAGGTTACTTGAAGCAGACAAGCAACTGCCCCAAAATGTGCTTTTGGGATGTCTTGGAAAGGAAAACTAGACCCACTCAAGAGTATCACCTACCCCAAAGGTTTCATTCCGCAGCAGTATGCTAAAGATGACCCTAGTGAGCAGCTGAACTGCAACGTGGTCCAGTCAGTGTCATTAATGTTCGTCATACTCAGGTCTTATTTTCCCCCATGTCTGCAGGAAGAGAAGTTACAGCTCTTACTGTGCTTACAGCTTTGGTCTTTGGGCTTTCAAACTTCAAGTGCAGGTGCTCTGGGTTTGGGCCACCATCATTCGAGGCAGGGTCTGACTTAGAATCACGGAAGCTGGTTGTTGATGTACCCTCTAAGGCCTGGTCTACACTACGACTTTAATTCGGATTTAGCTGCGTTAATCCGAATTAACCCTTCACCCGTCCACACTACAGAGCCAGTTAATTCGAATTAAAGGGCACTTAAAATCGATTTCTGTACTCCACCTCGACGAGCGGAGTAGCGCCTAAATCGATTTTGTTAATTCGAATTAGGGTTAGTGTGGCCGCACACCACCGAATTACTGTGTTTAAATTAATGGGGTAGTGTGGCTGCACACCACCGAATTAATGTGGTTAAAAACCGAATTAATGTGCTTAGTGTGGCCGCGCACAATCGAATTTATACAACCTGTTTCCCAAATTCGAATTATCTAAATTCGGATTAATCCTGTAGTGTAGACATACCCATTCGCCTTGGGAAATTCTAGCAGCACAGCTACGTATACCCCTGACGGAGAGGAGCAAGATGAAGAGCTGAGACTGTTGCTGTGTATAAGTAGAATGGGAAAGACCCTTTTTCTAATCAGACTCCAGCCTGGCCTGAAAGCCCCAAAGCCCCTGCTAGCTCTAGCAGATGGAAGCACCGAAGGGAATGATTTCACCTACCCTTTTCTCTACCGCAGATGCAGCAGCATTTGCCGCTGCAATCACCCCTTTTTATATGAATGGAACCGTTCCCTGGTGCTGAGATGCTCGCCTGTTCTCACTGCTTTTCTCCGCGTGTCTCCTCCGCCTTTCCTTCCTTTTTGTTGTCGCTCTTCCAGCCAGGAATGGGCGTAAAGCTGCAAACATCTGCTCAGTGATTTTACATCCAAGTGCGAAAAGCAAACAGGCAGATGCCAAACGAGCCCCTGAGCTGTCATTTGTCTTTTTTACAGTCCATTTCAGCAGAGATGGCTTGAGGCACCCAGAGGCGGTAGGGGCAGATGATGCACCAGGAGCCCCCTGCCAGAGCGCCAGCAGAAAAGCACCATTCTGTCTGCGCCTTTGCTTTCTATTCCAATCATGTGTCTATGCAGTACTCCCCCCCCCCCCCCCAGAAGCAGCAGCTGCAGTGTGAAACTGACTCCAGTCATGCTTCCACACTGCAGCCAGGGCTGAGACATAACTGCACAGGCATAGCACCGGAGCCAAGCGCCTGCCTCCTCCTTGTACGGCCTTGTGTGGTCTTCTCTCTCCTCTAAACTAATCCAAGTGCTGGGAATGGAGGCGAGGGAAGGAAAGAGGGAAAGAGCCAGAAGAGAAAATGGAGGGAAATAGAGAAGGAAAGGGGTGTGTGTGTGTGTGTGTGTGATAGAGACAAGAACGGAGAAGATAGACAAAGCAAGAGCGTGACCAAAAGGAGGGAAGAAGAGGAGCAGCACTAACCAATGAAATACTTGACTCTGCGGGCCCCGTTGCTCCCCTGGTGGGTTATGAATCTCTGAAGCCAATAGGCGCAATTCATACCTGTGGTGAGATCATATTGGAAGCCTGGACGGATCGCTCCTACACAGGAATGTAACTGTGGGGCTGGGATTAAGCTCTAGCAAGAAATCTACATAGTAGACATTTATTGTTGCCTGGCCCAGTCTCCTACAGGACCATTAGAAGCAGTGGGCCAGATTCTGCTCTCATTCACATGCTTATTAATTTACCTCAGTCTTTCAAGGACAATGATGTCCCTTCAGATTTCTGCTGGTGTCGCTCAGAGCAGTATCTGACAGCCTTGCTAATCAAAAGGCTGATTCTCTTTTGTAGCGAGCTCATTTTATGCGGCTGATGCTGGAATCTGAAAGGAGGGGATAGCCAGTCCATAAACCCCTTTGGACACACTTGACCGGACTGTGATCGTCTTGCACACAAGAATCCTCCCTGCTTGCACAGCCAAGCAAGGGCTAGTCACAACTGCAGGCTGATGGGTTTGTATGTGTATAATGTCCCAGTGTGTATGGCTGGGAGATGTGAGGAAGAGGCAGGGCCATGGATCATATTACAGACAGGCTCAGTCCCTCTTTGAGGTCTCCCTGTGCCTCCTCCAATGTTAGGCTGAGCCTGGAT